AGGCCATTTCCAATTAAACAAGAATCATAAAACAATTCAATCAATTTATTACCAAAATTAAAGGAAAAACCAAAAGCATCAAGTATCGATATAGAAATTAAATTCCGTTTCATTTGCGGTACAAAATAGTATTTTTTTTTTTTTTAAAAAAAAGAGAAAACAGACTCCAAAAATAACTTCCCTACTCATATGATCTCAACCTTCACTGAACTTCATTCCCAACACACAGGGTTACTTCATTCTCACTTGGCCTCCGTTTGCTTATGAACCCCTGCAGAACTCATCTTCTTCTCCAACCAAGTCTTAAACTTAAAACAATCTTTCTGCCAATGACCCTTCTTCTTCCAGAACTTTCATTGATCATTTTTCTTTATCGCTCATTTGGGACCACCAGAAGTTTGACCTCCAAAATTTTTGTTTTGCTGATTGCGGTGTGACTTGTCGCCTTTGTGGAACTTAAACTTATGGTTATGAAAAGATCCCTTGTTCTATGGTGGCTGAAAAGCTAATTGCACAGTTTCGACATTTTCATGTTTCAACCTATACTCCTCTTGGGCACATACAACAATAAGGTCATTTAAATCTCATTTATCTCTTTGAGCAGTTTAAGCAACATTCAGCTGATTAAACTGGCTCGGAAGGCTATTCAGATTATGATAAACCAGAAAAAGGCCCAGCAATGGGAATCTTAAGAGCCTTTAATTTAGAAGGTATATTAATCATTTTCATAACATGCTCCCTAAATCCACTTATACCATCATATCTCATATTTATCATTTTGTCCATCGGATCTCCAGTTTCAGCTTTATCAAACTCAACAAATTTCAATCATATGACATCCACAAAACCTTTAGCATTTTCATTATTCAGAATAGCACCCATAATGGGATTGGATATGGAGTGCTTCATAATTTTGAAACAAAGTCTATTAGTTATTTCCCACTTTTCATACTCAACTACATATTCAGGATAGCTTTTATTTGTAGGTTTCAAAAGTTATTTCTCCATTGCAAAATACAATCCCAAAAGACCAAGTGTTATTTCTATGTCTCATTTCCATCTTACATAATTATTACCCGTCAAGATTTCAATAGCAGACATTTGACTCGAAAGAGTTGAGGCATTTAAAACTGTGGAAACATAAAATAACATATTTAATATCATCCAAACATAGTGCATGAGACAATTGATGATAACATATTCATCTAATTAACATGTACTACTAATTAGATGATTCGTAATTCAAGTCAAAACCAAATGAACATTATTACGGTAAGAGTTTAGATGCATCATTATAAAGTCACATTTGGGCGACAATATAACACGATGTAAGGTACTCTTAAAACACATAACGAAGTTAGTCAATAAAACAAATTGGTTTTTGAAATACAAACACTTTTGGGTAAAAGGAGATTTTTAGACCAAATAAAATTGTTAACTGTTTTATACCAATTTTCAAAAAATATCATATATAATAACACATTTGAGCAAGATACTATATGTAATAATTCAAAATTACGATGTCAAAGTCCCATTTTTTTTTTTTTTTAGAAAATCTAATAAATAACAATGAGTGTGCCACTTGGTGGCTACCATCTATTTTTATTTCAAAATACTTCCCATGGAAAAATTTCAATATATATTTGGATCAAATTTTAAAAAATCCCATTTTAAAAATTCAAATTCAACCTCTTTTGAAAATTGCAGTTTTGACCCTCGATTTAAAATTATTAAAAGGTACCTTACAATTTAAATATTACAGGTAGGTCCTTCTTTTAAAATTGCAAACAGGCCCTTTGAGTGTTTATTGCAAGAAGAGACTCATAATTTCATAATTGCACGTAAGCCGCCAAAAATACACAAATTGCAGTGAAGCCCTCATCCCTAAAACAATCAAACCCGATTAGAACCCAAATCCCTAGGCACATAATTTTTTTTTTGGTTGCCGCAACCGGGGTACCTTGCCCACGGCCGGCACTGCAGCTGCATGCAGCCCATCCGGACGAGCAGCAGTGAGTTTATTTGCTTTTGTATCTGGTTTTATAATTGGATAAAGAATCCATTTTTCACAATATAGACAATATGTGTCCAGGCCATTAAAATCCACTTTTATACTTCGAAGGGGCATGAACATCTTATCATGTCGTGTTGATAATGTTTACTAATTCCGACATTAGAAGTTTTTCTACAGTATAATTCTTGATATGAATGCTTAAGTGCGTTTCCTGAAAATTGAGTACTCCCAAGGTCCTCAGAGTCAGAAAAGTTTGTAGGAGTATTATATATCATTTGATATTTGAACCTTTTGCATAAATAATTGCCGCTCATGAGCACCTCTGAAGGCAGTTTTGTTGATTTGGGGTCAAAATTGATTTTGGTGGTAATATTAACAATGCATTGCGAGGAGAAGAAGAATAACAAAGGCATGATACATAAATGGACACAGACTGCCTGGGTTTTCAATTGATAATGTACAGATTCAAGCTTTTATGCACAAGGGAGAGCAAATAGTAGGCAGAAAAACAATAATTTTTTTATTATTAAAGGATTCAAATCTTAGCACGATGATTCTAATACCAATTGTTGTAATTTTTCAATACAACAATGCTAAGAACAAAGAATCACATAATTAATTGATAGTTAAAAATTAATACATGCGGAAGACATTATGTGTGTGAATATTACCAGCTGGATCTTCCTCTCCAAGTTCCTCAAAATAATCATAGTTCTTTATTAATTTGTACGCTCTTGCATCACAGCCACTGTCAAATGATTCTGTTATCCATGTTGTAATTATTCATTATAATCATGCTATAAATAAGAATCACATAATTAATTGATAGTTCGAAATTCATACATGCGGAAGACATTTTGTGTGTGAATATTACCAGCTGGATCTTCCTCTCCTTGTTCCTCAAAATATTCGACCGTCAATGGGATAAACCAAAAACATATGGAGAGGAGAGGGGGCCTATCCATTATATAAGAAATCATAAAGTTGGTCCATTACCGACTCTAACCCGTAAAATTCGCAATCAAATGAAAGCCCACGTAATAAAATTATTCTAACAAGCCTTCCATACAGAATCTTTCCCCAATCAGCCTCTACCACTCGGGTCCAAGCTCGAAGTTGAAATCATCATTACTTTTGCTAGATTATGCATATATGAAGGAAGAAGATCGAGCAGCCACAATGTCAACTTTATCTTTAGGATTATCACTCAATCCATTGATTTCGAGATCCGAGGAGCTTTCGATTTTTAAGAGTGAGTTAGGGTTTTGTTTGGTGGTCGAGAGCAAGGAGAACATGTTTTATTTTTCCCTTGATACGATAGGACGTAGAGAAGCCTCTGCGCAGTGTGGAGACTTCTTCGCTTGCGTGCGCGAGACGTTCGCGCAGCACGGAGATTTGTGTCTCCGCAACAAGAAGATGTTATTTGGATACAAAATTTAAAATATACAACAGATGGACATTAAACCTCATTACATTTAAAAAAAAAAAAAGAAATATCCGGGAAACAGAGCAAAAATCAACAGGTTTTCTTTTAAAAAACCTTAGTAAAGACCATATAGCTACAATAATGAATCTCACCGTGAACTTAAAGTAAAAGAAATATAATTTTTTTTACTTCCTAATGAAAGTTTTGCAAAGCCTGAGAGATAAGACATAGAACACCTAAACATAGACATATAAGAAATAAAAACGTGTTGGTCACAATAATAATATGCTCTGACCAACATTTGTTGTTTAAAATTAAATCAATATTAATTAGAGATCCTAGAGGAGTAACCAGCATTTAAGTTTTCTTGACACTTTACTAAAATTATGAAATTGTAAAAAATAAGGAAATAAAGATTTGTGTAAATGAAATATAGCAAGGGATTACAAAGGGTAGGTAAATAGTTTTCGAAGAAAGCGAGGTGTAAGAAGAAAACTTACGGAATTTTAATTGATTTGTGCAAACTTCTTTGCCTTTTTACATATACACAGTTTCTGTTTCAATTTATTTGCTCGAAAATCTGCTTGATTATTGCTCAGAAATTTCCTTTTCTATGGTAGCGATTTCTTGGATTTTTTATACGGGAAAATGATGTTGAAAGCGCTCATTGCAGAAGAAGAGTAAAAGGGTATTCTAAAGATTCAATTTCGTTGACTATAGTTGAGATCTCAAGAGAATTTGATTGATGATTTTCTGTAGATTAGGGTGGAATATTTGAGAGCAAAAGAAGTTGATATTTTTCTCATTTCTATACCAGATATATGTCAAATAGTAGCAAACCAGATAATGAACAGTAGCATCCATTGTATGTGTGAAAGGGGGGTCTCATGAATGAACAGTAAAACGCCTATGTCATTTTTAGGGAGTGTAGTGAATTTAAAAGTGTGTGTACATTTCCTCTTATAAATCAACAAATTTTGGCGTATAATTCTCCGGATCCGGTCGCCCCCAGTGACCCAGTCCCATGTTTTTACCTTAAAATTAATAACTAAATTTAAAAAAAAAAAAAAAACAGGGCAAACGTGTAAAAATCAGAAGAGAGTAGCACGGCCGACACTGTGCAACCTCGTACTAAATCTTATATAAACGACTTACAGTAGAAAATACGGAAAAATTATGCACTAATATTTCTCTCTCTTCTCTCTCTCGCTCGCTCTAAAACTGTCTCGTCCCTGCCTTCTCTAGTCTTTTGCCCATCTCCCCTGGCTGTCTCACTTATACGATTTACTCTTAAGCTTTGTATTTCAATTACCCCGCCAAAAAAGGTTTATTTTTAAGATTTTGTAACGATTATAAATTTTAATTATCCCCCAAAATCCCCCCTTCTCATCCCTCTCCCTAGGGTTTCATTCTCTCTCTCACTTCCCCCTCTTATGGCTTTACTCGTCTCTCTTCTCTGCAGGTCTGTACGCCAATCGCGAAAGTTTTCGTTTCGAATCTACCGAGGCGGTGTTTTCCATGGAGGTTTAGAGGTAATTGTGAAGTAGGATTTTTTGTTCGATGGAATCGACGGTGGAGATTGAATCTGGAGTAGGATTGGAGGGCGTGGGTGAAAAAAGACTGGCTAAAGAGGATGGGGAAGTGTTGAAAGAAGCCAAGAGGATTAAAAGGGCTGGAGCTGGGGGTTTGGTTGTGAATGTAAAGAAGGTGGCGGAGATAGTGTTGGTGTTGGCGGCAATGGGGAAGATGAGGGGTGGGAGGGTACCGACAGAGGCCGAGAAGGACTTGATGAGGGACGCCCGGGAAAGGTTGGCCAAGGCTTGTGAGGGGTTTGCTCCGAAGGATGTGTTTCCAAGGGATGCTTTTGGGGGTGTGATTGAGGATTTGGGGCTTAACAAATTGAAGGAACAGAGACTAGGTTTTCGACCTCCCAAATTGTCAATTGCTGAGAAGTTGTTGCTCTCTAAAAGAAAGGTTTTGTCTTTTACCTTATTTTTTTGTTTTTCTAATTTTGAATTGTTTACTCAGGCTGTTGAGTTTGTATTAATTACTGTAATTGGTGAAATATGTTATTGTGCAATGGAGAAAGAATGAAATAAGAATATTGATATCAGATTTATTAGATAGGATACTGTTTGATGGAATATGAATATGAATATGGTGTTTTATTTGAAAATTTAATTTGAGGGAACAACTGTAAAATTGGCATGGGATGATTCTCTTGTGTTCCAGCTTTTATTTGACGACTCTTAATTGTGGGCTGCATACGGTGATTTGGCTGCAAAAGCATTATAGTGTTCAATTCAGAATGTTATTTACTATGTCGAAAGTAACAGTGAATAGTGTAATGTTTTACTCCGTAAATTTGTTTTATGAAATATGCATTGCTAATGGAGTGTTCAAGAATTGACACACAGTCCAAATTACCAAAAAAAGTGTTAGCCGTTTAATTGGATGAACTTCTAAATTCCTTATGTGAGTTCAGAAATCCTTCTGAAGAAGTTATTTCCTCACATTTAGGCACCATCCCAGTGGAATCAATTAGTTAATATGATGCATTGATAATACGAACAGCACATGGAATTGCATTTGTTGTCATGGTCTGATGAACCTATCCAGGTGAAGTGGGTGACTAATAAGCGCTTAAGCGGAGTAGCTTTACATTGACCAGTCTGGATGGGACGTGTTAAGCAAACGAGTACTCATAAAAGTTTGATCACATTATAAATTTTTCTACTTAAGACCATTGGTGGAGGGACGTGGGAGCCAGTGAGGGCACTGGCCCCACTGAAATATGGGGTAATATTTTTTAAATAGTATTTTTCAGTTCTTTTTGGGTAACGGCTGCTGAAGAAAGTGTGAAGAAGAAAAAGGAGTAAAAAGTTATAATAGGGAAAATTTCCCCATAGGTTTTCGTCTATTGCCTCTATAGCAATTTAATCATCAAACTTCAGTATAAGTTGCACAATCAATCTGTGATAATGAACGTTTAAATTTATATTAATGTCTAAACTAAATTGATTTTGCTCTCTTTGACACACATGAAGTTACGACGAGATATAAAAAATTGTAAGATTTCTAATATTATTATGTTATTGCATTGTTTGAAAAAAATATCCGTAGCTAAACTCTTCCCCCACCATCTTGTCAATATTTTCACATGATGCAACTCGCATTTTGCTGCATTCATGTTCAGAAGATAGCTTCATTTCATAGTTCGGCCTGATCACTGGACATATTTCCTAAGTTGCGCATCTATTTTGTGCTGCCTCTTCATTTTGAATATTGCAATCTACTCTAATAGGATAAATTTTTATCTGTAATTACATTTTAAATGAAAATTGAATAGTTTTATGGATATTATGCTGGTCAGTTTTTGTAGTATGACTCTTGGACATGTTGAAGTCTATTCTAAACTCTCCTTGCTGTACATTTTCTTTGGGCCTCTTCTTTCCCTCTTCCTAACAAAAAATTTGCTTTGGAGCCTGTAACCGCTGAAGTTGTAATCCTAGATTTTTGCTCCCCGCTACATATGATCAATAATCTGTGATGCTTTGAGGGAATGCTGAAGTTGATTGCAGTCACGAGAGTTCTCTTTTTGCATTTGGTGGAACCTTGTGATATCAGATACGTGACAAGTCATGGTTTGAATTCTTAAATGCACCTTCTAGAATAATTTTTGCCCATTGTATTTAGTCAAAGGTTTAAAGAGGCTTAATCAGGTAGTGAGGCGTTTTATCTTTGTGAAGCGAGGTGTAAGCCCTAAGATAAAGGAACTCAAAAGAATATAAAAAATACAAAAATATGCTTGTAAGATCCAGTAAACCCAGTATAATTCGTAATAAGACTGATTAACAAAGTTAGTATTAATGAGTTCTCAAATTAGTAATTAAGAGCTTGTTTGATACACATTATTTCTTGAGAATGCATTTTAGAATAGTAGATTGAGAGAGAGCGTGTGGTTAAAAATAAAGAAAAGTTTTGGATTTGCGTGTAATATTATTTTTTGAAGAATGTGTGGTTGAAAAAAAGATAGAGAAAAATGAATTTTGGAAATGATGTGTATCAAACAAGCTTTAAATAACAAATTATAATCTATTACTAAATTTCAATACTACATAAAAATTCCTTATATCATCACTTCTTTTAGGATATCTATTAATATCTAAGTTGCACGAACGCACTTAGGAGACACGTGCGTTGGACATGACATAGACACAACAAACTCACATGTTTTTAAAAAAGTAGTAAATGGACATTTTGGGGACATATCAATTTAAATTCTTTAAAATTTCCATTAAATACATTATATCTTTAATTTTGTTCTTTTTAATATAGGACACAACCTATGCCCATGTCGAACACTTGCATGAGGATGAGCATAAGAAATTTAACAGTTATATAAAAAATAGGATACATGATGTGACTTGTTGGACTCAGATTGCAATGGTCTATTAGCCTTCTAAGCAGAAAAATGAAAATAATGGAACCCTTAAAATATTTTAGGTTATCAAGAAATAACTCAAACAGGTAAAGTCAATAATCAAATGTTTGAAAAATACAAGCAAATGGACGGACACCTTATTAGCCTGAGGCATAAGACTTACTAATGGCATTTAAGGTGTGGGTTTTGAGTCGTTTTCGTGATAGCCTCATGCAATTGATTTGAGGGTTAAGGCGTAAGCCTTGAATAGTTTTTCTAAACCACGTGTTCATTATTTCTAAAGATACAGCAACCAATAAATTTGAGGTCTGCCCCCTTTTTCTAATGAAAGAAAAATTTTACTTGGAGAAGCTACAAGGATAGAGGCTTTGTGACCCTGAAGATGAGAATTGGAATTAAAAACACTTGCCTTTTTATTTGCAGATCCTTAAGTTCGGAGCTAACGCTTCTTGCTGATATAGATATAAAGTGCCTGTAATAGGAGTTCCAGTTCATTTCCAAGATGGGTGGATGACTAGGTTTTTGAGGTTGAGATCAAGTGTAGATGGTTATGAATAATTCTTTCTAATGAATCTATGCTAAATTAGGAACAGTTGATTAGGAAGGTGTCAACTAAAGAAACAACAATGTATGATTTATCCAAAGATAGGAACACCATAAGACGTGGCATCAAAATAGCTGAATCGGGTTATTTTGCATGCAAGGTGTATGACCTGTAAGCCTTGTCATTAACCAATAAAAATAATTCATAACAATATGAAAATACATAATTGTACTGATAAAAAAGTATACGCTTTAAAAAATTTACAGAGAAACATTTCAACAGAATCAATAGGCTAATACTCTAATTGGCAACTTGTAACATACAGAGAAGAAAAATGACATGGAATTGAGTATTAATGGGGATCTTAGTTTAGCATTTGAGGGAGACTTTGTTTTCAAATATTTTATGTTATGATCTATGATGCTCGGATTTAGGTATCGGATACGGGTACGGATACGTATCTAAGTGTCGGAGTTTTTATTTTTTAAAATGTAGGATGTGGGGATATGACTAAAAAGAGTCTAAATTTCAGACACGGGTACGTGGCTACGTCTTTCAAACTTCTTTTTTTTTATACTAATCCAGGATATCATTTTGAATAGACCAAAATTAATTATTCACAATGAAGGAAATTGGTATTTAATAAGGGGTTAAAACGAATAAAATAGAATTTTGGATTTAGTTTTCAATTATGGAAATTACTAAATGTTTTTTAAAATAAAAAATGAGGAATTTGATTGTAATTTGACTTAGTGGATCACTAAGTATCACTATATGGAACTCATTTTCATTTATACAAACAAAACCCTAAACCACCAATACAAAGAGAGAGAGAAGGGAAAAAAAAGAAGAAAATGGAAAGGAAAAAGAAAGAAGAAGAAAAAGAAGGTAAAATTTAGCGCCGCCGTCTTTTTCCATCCTCTCGGTAACGACGCTAGGTTTATAGAGAGCAAAAGTGGGAAAGAAGAAAAGGGAAAGAGAGGAAAAGAAAAAAAAAGGAAGAAGCAAAAACGACGAAATGCCTGGTTGAAATTTGGAGGATCCGACGAGTATTCCATACTCATGTCTTACCGTGTCCGACACGGGTACTCCAACGATTTCGAAGAGTCCAAGCATCAGAGGTCATGATCTCTATTCATCATTCAATAATATTTCCATATAGTTAAAACATATATGGGTGTTCTCATGTTCAAGAACTTTTGGGTCATTTTTCTAGAATTTTTTTACTTTTATGTTTGTGCCTAAACCTTGTATTACTAATTTCTCTTTGTACTCAGATGTTAAATATTGTACTTGTTTGCTAACTTATTTGCTTTCTTTTGTGCTTTTTGATGTTTGTTGATAGTATCAGTGCCGTTAAAAAGTTATATTTCCTGATGTCTTTTCAAGAATATTTCATTATGGATGAAAGTTGACAATATGCTCGTTTGTTCTGCATCAGCTGACTTATTATTGTCTTGTAAACTGTGGATGATGATTTATGCTGATGATTAGTTCTCTTTTCCCATTTTAGATGGAAAAATCAGAAGCTTTTTCTCTACCATCAACTCCACAGTCGTCTCAAAGTCAGCAAGTGAACTCTCGTGCAGGAGCTGAAGGCTATGGTGCACCACACGGTGTTCGGATGTCTCAGTCGGATAAACCAAGTCACATGTCAATATCTTCTGGAAGTTTCCAAGCTTCTTCACCTTTGGGTCATGGTACTCCAACAAATTCTACATCTTCAGCATATCAGCTTCCCACTAGTGAGATAAGACCAGGCGTTTCCAGTGCTTTGCCCTCAAGTCATTTGGTTTCAACAGCGTTGCCTAGAGTTGACCGTCCTCTTGCTAGATTGGATGGAAGACAGAATGGTTCTCTTTACCCTTCGCAAGATAAAGGTAACACTGATTTCTCGCTGTTAATCATAACTAATGACGAAAGATTGCTTAATTAAATTATGTTGTGAAGATCTTTGATTGCAGGGTTCTCATTAAAAGTAAATTAAGGTTCATTTTGGCAATAGCAAACATCACGTTACCTTTAACGCCTATGTGTTCTTGTGAGCCAGAGCTTACTTTATTAATTAACAAAACCTTTTTTTATGGAACAGACATATCATTATGCATGGATCATACCTTTTGCATAATTGAATATGGATCGTTTGATGGAAATTTATAGCAAAGAGTATAATTATCTGTTTTATGACTATTTTGTGCCATGACGTTTCTTTTTATGGGAATTAGTCATACTATGTTACCATCTAATGATTTTTCTTCACATTTCTTTTATTGTCCTTCAAATTTTTGTACTCTTTCACGTTGTGAAGAGGATAATTATCTGTTTGAAGACTTATCTATGCAATGAATTTCTCTTTATGGGAATTGGTCGTACTACATTACCATGTACTGATTTTTCTTCACATTTCTTTTATTGTGCTTCATTTTTCTGTAATTTTTCACATTGCAGTTAATTACACTGCTAACTCAAGTGTGAGAACTCCAACTTGGTCGGTGCAATCCCAGTCTGGCTCATCAGCTAAAATTTGTTCAGATACTAAGGTGCCTCTGAATTTGTCAGTTAAAGCTGAGGAAGTTGCTGATGGTAAGTCTGGATTGGCCCCTCAAGCAACCCCCAGGCCAGTTGTCACTCAGACAACAACTGGACCGCCAAGGGTACATCAGACTTTACAAGGAACAAACTCTGTTCAGACATTGGGTAATACACATACTGAAATTATTAAGATCATTCAGAAATTGTTTCAGTCCCAGGATCCAAAATGTCCTCCTTGGAAGCCTCCTTCTAGGGATTACATGAATAAGGCATTGACTTGTCAGATGTGCATGTCTACCCTTACAGAGATAGATAGTTTACTTGTCTGTGATGCTTGTGAGAAAGGGTTTCACTTAAAATGCCTCCAGACAACTAATCAAAAGGGAGTTCCTAGAGGAGAATGGCATTGTGGAAAGTGCTTGTCTCTAAGCAATGGGAAACCTATACCCCCCAAGTATGGTCGTGTCATGAGAAACATTAATACAGCAAAGATGCCTTCCAATGCAGCAGCTGTAACTTCAACTAAAAAGGTTGAGACTTCAGATGAGACGATCAGTCAGCCGAAGGTAATGGTCAATGGGAACACTTCAATTCTAAATGTACCTACTGCTACGACTGGAAGTAATTATATCCATCAAGTATCTGGAACAAATGTGGAAGAGGCTAAAGGAGGGAATGGTATCATACCGAGTGAGGCAAAGTTGGATGACAAATCTTCTGGAACTTGCCCTAATAATGTGATGAAAACCTCCAGTGCTGCTTGTGTTACACCTGGGAATTCATCGGTTGGAAAATTATGTGATGGGAAGGTGATTGAATTCAAATCAGATCCTCCTGAACAGTCAGACGCTGTTCCCAGTTTATCTTGTAACTCACGAGCTCCTGGAGATGCTAAAGATAGTAACTTAAGGCCACCAAGTGATGTAGCAAGTTCACCGAATCAATCTCTTGAAAATCATGCCTTTAGCAGGGATTCAAAAGAATCTCATGGTAAAGAAACTTTCAACAATAACTTAAATCAACCAATTGATCAAGTTGTACGTGACAATGCTTCAGAAACTACTGCCAGTACTGGAGTTATGCAGCACAATAGTTCTGCACCAGATGGTTTGCATGCTGTATATTGGGCTGGTGACACAATGAAAGTTGTAGATAAGAAAACGTATTATCAATCTTGCTACGTCGATGGCCACATGTATAAAGTTCAGGATTATGTTCTTATTCGCTTTGACAATGATAGATTGATCCCTTCAAAGCTTCAGGTTAGCAATTTATCTAGCATTTAAGGTTTCGTGGGATGGTAATTTTATTGATGTTTTCCAATCACACTTCCAAGAATTTTTCTTGGTCAGTCACTGTTTAATAAGGTGGCTATATTTGAGAAATGTTTTGTCAGGTACCGTCGTCTTATAAATTAAATTGGAACCCACAGAACTTGGTCTGTTTCTGTTTCCTTGCTAGTTTGGCACATTCAACCCCACTCCCCCAAACGAAGGCAATGGTTTGGATGTTCCCCTAACCCAACCCAAGAAGTGGATTGGAGGGAATCCAAAGTAGCATCCATCGTAGATTGTCTGAACTCCTGTAAAGTCCTTGCTAAGTCAGACTTGCCAATCCTTGGAATTCAATGTTATCATTTTGAGCATTGTGATTAACCACACATGTTTGGTTTTGGTATTTGAATACCATTTGCATGATGTTTTCAGTTTGCCTTCCTTTACTTGACTGTTATGGTACCTTGATCGGCCGAATTATCACCAATGCAAACTGGCGCTGTAAATGTTCCTTGTTGCAAGTAGAAAGAGTTGGTTTGCTAAACTAAGTTGCTCTGGTTTTTACGCATTACTACTATTTTTTTTCTGCTGCAGGCCATGTGGGAGGATAACAATACTAGAGAAAAGTGGGTAACAATAAATCGGTGTTACTTCCCTGGAGATTTGCCTGAGGCTGTTGGCCGCCCTTGTGGCCTAGAAAGCAGTGAGGTGAATTATGTTCATCCTTTTTTGGAATGTTTTGCTACAAGTGCAATGATTTATTAACACAACCTAAAGCATCATTGATCACAAGGACCAAGTTTTCATTAGTAGTGGCTGTCCTGTGTATTTTTTTTTCAGTAAGATGTAGGTGTCTTAATACTTTTAAATGTTCAGATATTCACGCATTTAGTAGCCCGTGTATATTTAGCACTTGTTTGAGCCCCACTTTTTCCATCAAAATGCATCTCATTACAATCACACATTTTTCAATAAAATAATATTGTACACAAGCTCAAATTTTTTTCTTATTTCTTAACCACATATTCTCCCTCATAACACTATTGCAAAATGCCTTTTTTGCACCAAAAAATAAGGGGCGGGTATTGGTTTTACTTTACTTTACTACCCCCATGCATTTTGCAGAAAGTTAAAGGAAACCCAATATATAATCATTGATAGCTTTCGAAGATACCATGTAATCCCTTTTGAACTGAAATCAGCTAAAGCACGAAAAACATTCTTATTGATGTGACTTGAATATCAAGAATAGTTCAGATGCTAAGACTTTGGCCAGCTTATAAAACATTTTGCTCTTAATCTTATTGTACTAGTTTACTTAAATCTCACCCTTGCATTTGGCAAAAAGTTAAAGGAAGTTCATCAAAATCATTGATAACTTTCGACAATATTGACCTTTTTTGGAATGAAATTTTCTCAAGTGTTATAAAGATTTTTGGTGGCATAACTTGGACGTCAAAAATAATTGAGTTCTGTAATAATAGTATCTATTTAGTTTATGGTAATATCTGTTTAAAGACAGACTTGGGACCCTAGTCGAGAGTAGGACTACATTATAGGATGGTGGCGGCAGTGGGCTTACTGGTGAATGGTGTAAAATTAAATTAGAAGGCACTTAAATACTTTACAAGTGTCGTGCATTATTGAAGTGGTTTTGGTGCTACACTGGGCTATGCTAATTGACATTGAAAGGTGTAGATACTTTTTGGAACGTTTTTATACTGTAGGTTTATATATGATAATAGAATTATCTGAAGAGATGCCTATTAGGTAAGATAGGAAGCTTATATTCTATGAAGAAACTAAGATTTCATTGGTATCTGAATTCATATTCCTCATCTTTTTGGACTTCTCATTTTTCTTCGTTGTATTTTGCCTTCTCTTAATGTTTCCCAGATGCTTCTCTCTCTAAATAACATCACCCATAAGTTAATGTCACATTCTTTAGTATTTCATCTTGCATCTTTGGCCCATTTACATTTTATTATCTTAAATAGATGTTTGCTTGCTATCCTTTTCCATATTAGGCTTCTAGAAGCGTCTTTTATAACTGAGACTTAACATGAATTTATTTCTTGTTGCATCTTTTTCTAGGTATGTGTGTCTAATCGTGATAGCACATTAATGGCTGGCCTAATACAGAGCCCATGTGAAGTTCTTCCGCCAAGAAAGTTCGCCGAAGAAAGTGAAAGGAGAACTCATTTAAGGCCACAGCCAAATGATCAATTACCTCCACTTTATCTGTGCAAGTGCGTCCATTGAGTTTGTTCATTCTATTTACTTTCCAGTCGCAATTTGATTTTTACAAGTAATGTCGTATAGCTTTCTCAAGTGGGTTTTTTGATTGTGGGTAATGAAGAGTATGGTATATATAACTATAATTGATGTAAGTATCTGAAATTTGGTCAAATGTCCATGACTAATTATTCACGCTACATGATATAATTGGTACACATACTATCACTAACTCCCCTTCATGGTCTTCGTTTGTTGGTCTCTATGTGCATCATTTTATTAATTTTCAACATGTGCTATATACAATTTACCATTGTCAGTATGCCATCTTCTATGATGTTGAACATGACAACTATAGTATTGGAAAGGGTGAAAATTGGTTAAAACTTACTGATATTTCTAAGCAAAGATGGAGATATGTAAAGAGGCAATCTGGTTCTTCCTATTATGAGAAAGGACACCGGGAAGTGGGGGTGGGCTGCAAATTTTGTGTAGCATTGGCCCTTGGATATTTGATGTTTCTGTATGCTAGCACTTAGTATTTTAATCCATCTTCTATATTCATAAATATGTATATATATATATTTGTTTTTGCAGATGGATATATGATGAATCAAAAGGGTTGTTCCGTGACATTTCGTGTTAATTATGGTTACGCATGCCATAGGCCACATTGATGCTGCCCCCTGTTCAGTCACAGTTTAATCAGGTGCATGACCTTTTACTTCTATATGTATCTGAAACTCCGTCCTTAATGTACTAGTTATTACTTTCTTTCCACACATTTTTCCACTTTTTTACTTGTTCAGAAGAAAATTATTATTTTTGTAGGTCATTAAGCCCCTGTTTGCCCCCCCCATTAAATTAAATTTTTGGGGGGTAAATAATTTTTAGAATAGTGATTGATGGGAGATGTGTGGTTGAAAAGTTTTTGATTTGTGTGTATTATTATTTTATTTGATGAATGTATGGTTGAGATGAAGAGAGAAAAAAAATTAATGTAATGAAATGTAATATAATGGGGGCCAAACAGGGGCTAAATTCCGATCACATCTTCTCCAAAGATGTGGAAAGGAGCACCTAGAAGTGCAACAACTATTAGTAATGTGCTATCTAGGATAGCTAATTCATGAAATAGTTTGCATACATGAGTGCTCTCAAACTTATGAGATTAAGGACCCAAAAGCAATTTTTGAGTCTATTTCGAAAATTTTCTGTAAGGGTGCGTTTGATTGCAAGGGTGGAAAATGGGTGGAAAGAAAATGTTTTATAGGGAAAAGATTTGTCTAGAAAATATTTTGCAGGGAAAATAATTTCAAGTGTGTTTGATTAGTATAATTTTCCAACCGGAAAATTTTTAAATTTTCTATTCGTTTGGCTTTGTTTTATATGGAAATTGTCCATTAAAGTGATTTTTTTTTCCATTATTGGTTATAAAATTTGTTTCCTATAAAAAAAAAAAAAGGGGAAAAAATTGTTTCCTAAAAAATCATTTTTTCATCAAAGTTTAGTGTTCGTATGACTTTGCTTTATATAGAAACTGTTCATTAAAGTGAAATTTTTTTTTACCATTGGTTATGACATTTGTTTCCATTGGAAAAAGAAAATTTTTTTTTTCCAGCCAGCATGGAAATTTTTTTCCCAAAAGTTGGAAAATGCACACGTGTGGGCTAAAGGTGGAAAATTTCGCCTATCAAACAGCCAAAAAAGTGGAAAGTGGAAAATATTTTTCTAGTTCCCTTGAAAATAATGTCAATCAAACAGGGCCTAAGTGCTTTTTGTGCTTACAAGAGCTTCTCTTCCGGAGGAAGCTAGCATGGGTGGCTTCCTCAAGAAGTAGAAGCAAAAGGAGAAACTATCCAAACGGTAAATAAAAAAATCATCATTAAGCTTTTCTACTTGTCAAGAGTCTTCAATTTTTATGGGCACTTCGTGTTAATTTACATCTCATGCTAACCTTCATCATTAATCTGGCAAATGATTGTAACCTGAGAAATTGTTTGTGACAGGTAGCTTGTTGCAGCATAGGAAGAAATAGTTCTCAAGTTCAGTTTTGTGTACCATATGTAGCTTTAAGTTATAATATGTAATTGATTTTTGGTTAGGGATTCAGATGAACTGCTTCGAATGCCATCTTTTGGTGACGAGGATCTAGATCACAAGATTGTTGGATGTAAATGTGACAGGCAAATTTTTTTTTGCTTCGACCCATGATGATTTAGATTGTTAAGTTTTGATACAAAGTCGACTTGATTTTACTTTTGCTCGTGACAGAAAATTATTCATTAATGTCGAATGGGATATAATAGAACAAGTTGAAATCTTATTATTATATTATTCAGTTGTCTTGTACAATTGAGCTGGATAATTTCTACTAGGAAATAAATTATTGGTGTCATTGTTTATGGCAGTTAAGGTTGTTGAGTTAGAGATGGCAACGGGGCAGGGCGGGCCGGCATGCCACTCCCCTGCCTGATGCGGGGCGCATGCATGTCGCTTTTTTTTTTTTAATTTTCAATTAAAATACAAATTCAAAATTTTAAAATTCAAAACAAATAATGTTCAAACTAACTATATCAATATCCAAAGCAAGTATTCGAAACAAAAAATATCCAAA